TGTGGGAGAAGAAGGTTTAGTAACCTTCCCCTCCCCTTCCCCCGACAAACTTGGCCCTCTGTGGCCTCCGAGTTCATCAAGGGGGCCAGAATCCTCCATTGTTGTCCAGTTGTACCACCATATCCTCCATCGTCTTCCATTTCTACGATCAAGTGCTCCATCCACGTCCAGTTGTACCACTATTACCCACAGTCTTTAATAAATAATTCAATTACTCACTATCTATATGTACGAACGACATTCGAAACGAAGAACGAACAGTGATGTATCGGGAAAAACAAAATTCAGACGAGGGGCTCACTTACATGTTCGAGACAGAAAGATCTAACAGAGAGGCGAATCACAACCATTATCAATGAAACTATCAATACAAAGACAAAACACAAAGAAGTTATCGAAAACTGCGATATGTGTGAATGAGGCGGCATGCGTGAACAACTCTGATAAGAACATCCAGCCTCACCCCCTTGACCACATCGCCGCTTCTTTTCAAACTGCTTCTGGTTCAAGAAAAATATTGATCAAGCAGAACGGACTAAGAACTTAGGTTAACGACGGATGCAATTACAGAAAAAGAAAAACAACAAGTAGTAGGGGTTGATAGGAAAGGGAGGAAAGATGCGGATAAGGGACTGGAAGGAAGACGTTGCAATGCAAAAGGTAATCTCTCTCTTCGCGTTTCTTTCAAACTTGTTCAAGTTCAAATGAGAGATCAGCTTATGGAAAACAAGCAGAATGGTCATGTTATGTAACTGTGCAATCGAGAGAAGAGAACAAAGAGGAAATCATGATCGCTCAAGAGCCTCATCCCTTCCCACTGATGTCCTTATAGGTAACCACGACTTGAAACCAGTTGGAAATAAGACATAAGGAACTTCATCATGAAATAACAAATACAAAAACGTGTGGGGGGAGGGAGAAGCAGAGTAAACACCTACGACTGAAGGAAATAGAAAATAGCCAAATAAGGGAAAATAATGGAATAAGAACTATTTCGAGCTATAAGACTAGAAAGAAAAAAGAAAACGAGCATAGATACATTCACACAGAGACAGTCCTTGTAGAGCAACTGTTGAAGAGATTCAAGGAGATCACAACCTTCTAATAAGCTCAACAAGGAATTATTGAAAACAACGAATCTACACAGGAAAGACAATCAATAATACATCAACAACTTGATATCCAAAGAGCACGAGCAAGACAGGCGGAATCACACGGAAGACAATTCAAAATGCGATTAAAGGAGGGCAGAACCATATTTGGATTAGCAACAGAGCATGCTAACTCTATAAAATAATTAAACCATCATCAAGACCGCACATTTTTTTTCGCCGCGTGGAAA